TATATATATATATATATATATATATATATCCTAATTTCTCTCTCGATTTGTATCACAAAGAAAAGTACTAAATAGGATTATGGTCCTAGAGAACAAAGAGAAAATGAAAAGAAATTGGTGATTTGAATATTGAAGGAAACAATATCTATACTCTTATTAATTGTAGATGGGCAAACTTGACATATATTATAATTAACATACATATAAATCTCAAACATAATTTCTCTTCTTTGCATTTTCTTCCGGCACTATCAAGATAAGTCACATGGGCTATTTGTCTTGAGTTAGTATTGATTTGTCTTTGTTTTTTATGCGTACACCACTAATTGAAATTATTACCCATATAAATGCTTCTTTTTTCTATTTTTTTGTCTTCAATAACATTTTTGTTTACCTATTCAGACACAATAAGAGTTAATAAGGTCAATCTAGTTGTCTAGAAAAGCTCATCATTCAGTTCATTGTATGTCCGACCGAGTTGTGTTGAGTGGTCGCTCTGGATTAGCTATCTTGACGAACATTCTATTCGAGCTCTCTTGTTTGATCAATAACTAGTTGGCATTGCAACCCAAATCCAATCCAAAACGTTGGCTATACTTATTCAATTTCTTGTTTGTTTAATGTCTTTATCAGTGAAATTAGATCCAATAGTCCAAAGACATTGCTACCAAAAATATATGTCAACCTCATTTTAAAAAATAAAGTCAATAAATGGACCCCGAAGAAGTGTGTTGGATTAACAAGAGTACAACATATATATTAGCATTGATAGAACTGGCCAAATTGATCTGAGTTTCAAGTGACATCACTTTGAATCAAATAGAATTGATTAATTTTATTGGATTTGATTTGAAACATGGCATTTTCAATTTGAGTTTTAGTCTGATTTAATTTTAGAATTTGATTTTGGGATTTGTTTTTTTTTAAGAATTAATTTGAACTCAATAATTTTGATTTAAGAACTGACTATAAGTTAAAATATTTTTTTGTTTTGAACATAATAAACTCAAGTCAAGAGAATAAACAGTGACCTTTATTTGGAAAATGAGGTCAATATTAGAATGGTAAATAACAAATTACCAAGAAAACAAGAAAAAAAAAAACACATGATAATAGATGAAAATAGTGGTTTAGCTCAAAAACTTCTGTCCATTATAAAAATGATATTAATATGCTTTTCATTAGTATCTTCTAGAAATAACAAGAGCTAAAGTGAGCATAACAGTACATGAACAAGTGTGAAAATTTTTGAAGCCCAAAAAATATTTTTCACTGTTTTTAGGGCTCTTATTTATAGTTTTTAATATTAATATCAATATTAATGAACAACTCAATATTTTGATAATCAATTTATAATAAATAAACCTAAATGAATGAACTTTAGTAATCATTAGAAATATTTGTCATGCAATGTCTATAATTTCTTGGTTCACAACTATTCTAATAGTTATGGTACTGCAATGAAAGATATTCTAACTAGTGTTCTTAGAATTGTGTTTCTTGAGCTAACCATCGTGACCCAAAATAATATTATACTGAGGATATTATTTCTTAGGTTAAGGATATGATATAATAAGATTGTATTATTTTCTAACTAAGATTTTTTTAAAATCCATTCAATTTACATAACATATATCGGGCGGTGATATAATTATGCTTATGTTAAATTTTGAAGTTAACATACCCTTCTAACTATATAAGGTTCTTGAGATGATAAAGAATGAGTTTGAAAACCATAATTTTGCATAGATTTTATATTTTCAAGAAATATATTATGATCAATATTACTTGTTATGATGAGAAAATATTAATAACAAACAAAAGATGAGCAATCATATTTAAAAATCTTAATCCAAATACACACATTCACTTTGGAGATTTTTTTGTTATTTTTTTATTAATAACTTTTAAGCATTATAAGAGTTAGGTTGAGTATAAACTTAAAGAGGCAAAGTGTGATGAAGCTTAGAACAAGGAGACTTAGAATTCTCAGGTCCCTTCAGTGTTTTTTATCGGCTTGGGAGTTTTTATTTATATCTTCTTAAGTTAATTATTGTTATCCTCAAACTACTTTGAGATTCAATGGATGATATTATAGTAAATAAGGTTTTATGAATGAACTACATCAATGATTATATGTTGTAGCTTAAGGAATATTTAATATTTCTAGATTAATAAATATCTAATGGTTATGATAGTGCATTAGATGTTAACTTGAATATATTTTTGAAGAATTGCACTTCTCAAGCTTTCATCTAAACATGAGATAAAAATCTCTTGGAGCCAACTTATGATAAAATTGAATAAAATTATTAAAAAAAAGAGTATTTAATAACTTGGTCCAGATAGGCATGACATGTGTATAAGGATGTATTATAAGAAGGTTTGAGGTTAAAATTAAGGGTTTTGGTTTAACTTAGTTCTTCAATTTTAATATGGGTTAATTAGATTTTTATTCAATTAAGTTTTAATATATTTAGTTTATTGATTTATCATGCCTTATGGGGGTGTTTGGGTCTGAGTTAGGCACATAGGGTATTTAACTTTTAATTAAGTAGTTAATTAAAATTTTAATTAAATTTATAAAAAAGTTAAAATTTATCAAATACATCTCAAATCATTATGAAATCACTCTATAAAGTTAAAGGGCATGAGAGGATCAATTTTTAAAATAGGATTTTTTATTTATTTTAAAATTTCCCTAATTTAATGATTATTTTAATTTGTTTAAGCAATTAAATTTATTACAAAAATTATGAAAAACTACATATGGGTTCGAGTGGATCTCCAACCCTTCTATAAGAAAGTTCAAATTAATTAAAGTTTATATAGTTGATTTATGATTTCATTCATTTTTATTTGAATTATTAAATTTCAAAAATTTTAAAATATTTTAATTTTAATTTTATAATTCACAAATTTTTGGTTTAGTATTCAAATTTATATAATTTTTAGAAGTGGGGCAATTTAGGTTATATACATTAATTAATCATTTTTTAAAATATTAAGTTAATTCCCTTATAAAATATCAATTAATATTTCATCATGAAATTTTTTTCCTAATGTAGAAAGTTTTATTTTAGACTTTTAGAGTCACTTGGGTTTAATTTCAATTTGTATGCTTTTTATGATTAAATAATTCATTAAAATTTCATAAATGATAAAAAAAATGAAAACATTTCTAAAGCTAATTGATGTGATTCCCAACTTCTCTAAAAAATTTTAAGTGAATTTTATTTATACTTTAGGAGTTATAAGTTTCATAAAGTTTGATTAATTAATTATTTTTTTAGTTATATAAAAAGACTAATTAATAAAAATTTCTTAAATTTAAGTTTAATGAATTATTTCTGTTAAGTTGCCCATTAGATTAAAAATTATTAAACCATTTAGATGTATTTTAATAGTTTTGTGTTTTTAAAATTTGAGGTATATTCTATGTTAGCCAATTAATTATATAATTATTATTATTAACTAAATATATTAATTTTTGAATTAAACATCCTAAATCTTAATAAAGCCTAAAGGCACCGTCTAATTTGACCTTAAGAGTTTTTAATTAAAGTTAAGGTTTCATTTTAAAGGCTTAATTAATTAATTAATTAATATATGTGATTATATTAATTAACTTAGTTATTTTAGGTGATTTAAGTTAAATATAGTTCAAATTAAGGAAACCCTAATCCAAAGCTTAGAAAAATGTTGGAAAATTCTCATGAGTTAATAATGACTTAGAGAATAATCTTTGAAAATCACAAAGAGGTTAGAAGCCTATTTAGGGGTGTTATTATGGTTTAATCATTTATGATATTTTTCAAAATACTTCAAATCTGTAGAGAAAATTAAGGCTTTTATTTTTCTGTGGTTAAGCTCATAAAAATAAGAATTTGGCATATATTTGTGGATTTTATTTTTCTTGAATTAGTTACAAATTTTGGGAGTTTCAGTGGGTTTAATTAATTAAATACTATTTAACTTAAACTAATTTATTTTATCACAGCAACTGAAACAATTGCACTTTGCACACAACATTATTCAATTAAACAACATGGTTTAAGTGCAGGCCCAATCATTCCATTTTCTAAAATGGCTCACAATCATTCATTTCAGTAGTGGGAAATGAACAACTGTGATTTATCTCATACCTCTAGTAGGAGACGTGAATCATCGATATGTAGGCCTCTTATACAAGTGATATAGGAACCAAAATGTTTACCTTTTTGATAAAAAAGGATCAAAAGACAAAGGATTTTTAATCCTTACAATTAGGGTTGTCCTTAAATCTATTTTGTTTCCCAAAGTTTGAAAATTAAATGCTTAGGGAGTTAATCCAAGCACATAACTTTTGAGGTTGCAAATCGCA